CAATCAGATTATTTGTCACTGACCCCGTGCATACTGAGATCTCATGAATTCAAATCATTAATAAAATGCACTTTTTTTTTCAAAATAATTCAAAACACTGCTATTTACTTTAGGTTTGTTTCCGCCTGCACAATGAATGCAGGATTCTGGACATGCATGTGTGCCACTCTATGAAACCATGACTGCGGACCGCATAACAAACAATGACCTCCAAGCATCCAGGTTGCTTGGTCGTCATTGTGGGAACGCAATGACTTGGATAACCATCCACTATAAAAGTCAAATCATCCTCTCCAGGAATAAAAGTCAAAGTATTCAAGCATGACATGCACACTCAATGATATCCCAATACATCCAATCATGCAAATTAAGCTTCACTATTAAAACCACTAAGTTCAACCCCAAAGTGAATCCGTTGAAACTTCAGTAAAACTAACAGGAAACACAATTATCGCAATTGCTATTACCATTCCATATGCCACCACAGAGGCAAGACAAGAAAAAGGATGTCCACTGAATTGAAAATTTAAATCAGTGTACACAATTCATGTCAGCAGCATATGAGGGAACAAAACATCCAAAATCATACACTTTTTGAAAAAGAATCAAATCTACTGCATGAAGCCTGCTCCATTTATTCCTCAATGGGGGCAGCTCCTCTTATAAGCTGTTAACTTTCTTCTAACCATTTGTCACAATGTCCATCGCTCGTCATCGTATTAAAGTTGAGCACTACAATTTATTGCTTTTTTACGTTTTAGGACTTATAACAATGGACATCTTTCTGCACCGTATCTGAGTTATCAATGTTAGATGTTACTGTACAAACATTGTCTTTTCAATGAACAAAGCTTTCCGTTATCTCTTACTGGAAGAATATATTCTAAAACCAAACATACTGGAAGTTGACCAAAGGAACCGCATTTACTTCGAATAAGAGAACATTTCCTGCAATCATCTACCTGTGTGCCTGGAAAACATAAATAATGAAGCAAGTCATCGGTTTGCCGTAAATGGCAGAAAATCAGACTTTAGCATTGTAACAATGTAAGAGATGCCAACCACCAAAAATGTAACTAAATTGAAAGAAAGGAAGGGAACCATAATGAAACGAAATGAGCTGTAACTGTGAAACAAACGGCTTATTTTTAATGCCTGGAGTCCAAAGGCAATGGTTCTGACAAACAAACAGAGCAACACACAGCACACACATATTTAATGACCCATTCTGACTGAGTGGCTGTAAATTCCTGGTTTATGATGCTAAGCATCACAATTCAGCTGGCTCACAAAAGGACTTTTGTTGATGCTGACAACACACACATCTACACACACACACACACACACACTAGATAAACACAGTACGAAGGGACCCTTACAGTACCCTCGGGCCAGACACAAACAAACACTTAGACATACAAAACCACCAGCTTGGCTAATAGCATCAAGTGTTCTAAAACGGGGACACAAAACAGAGCATTAGAAAGAAAACTGCAGTCTCTCTCTTTTTTTTTTTTTTAATTATATATATACTTGTCGGCTATCTGAGCAGTGAACTCTACCCTCGAGCATATGGATTGGCAAAAATGAGCAATGGCGAGAACAACATGAGAAAATGCTTCACTATGTTTGCAAACTACATGTAATCAAGGGGAACATGAACTAATTTCAGAGCATGTGAATTTGCAGCTGGCACAATGAGCAAGTGAGAGATAGATGCAACAGCTGGCCTAATTGAATTGTTATTTGTACCACACAACCAATGAACAAGCTTAATAGCACTGAGATTTGGTGTTTGTCTTAAATCTAGAGCTAGCTTGTTGTGTTCATTCGGTTGTAATTAATATTTATTGTGATTTAGTGGAGTGACTCAAAGGTAAGACTAACCTCATTATATCTAGTGGTCATATTTTGTTTGGTGAAGGACATAAAGTTGTGCTTATCTTTTTTTTTTTTTTTTTTTTTCGCGCCCAAGATGCTGTCCAGTTGAAGCAAATAAACCCCTAATGGACCGGGATGAAAAAAAAAAAAAAAACAAAAAAAAAACGGCAGTGCTCCTTTAATACACTTCTCAGGGAAGTTGAGTGTTGGCTGGACTAAACTAATTTAGTGGAAGGGGGAAAGCTAATCTAATTTGGATTTAAGAGGTGTAAATGATATTAATATGCAACTTAATGAAAGTTATATTGTGAATCAACTGCAACAGAGTTAAATTCCCCTTAATTTGCCCCATGTGTAAAAACCACAGTATAAATAAAATACACCATGATGGCGTTGTGAAGGTCGGTGTGCTTAAAGGTGACGGGACAAAATCTAATCAGGTGGACTCCCAATTAAAATACAAAAATTGCAAACAAATAAGGAGAATAAATTACTGTAAGATTATAAATGCTAGTGTAACTAAACGGTGGTTCATGTGCCATAACCAACAACGGTGCATTTGAAATCAGGACCAAGGAGATGGTGTTGGACTTCAGGAAGAACAGACACCTCCCTCTCCCACCTGCACATCAGAGGAGCAACAGCTGAAGTGGTCTGCAACTACATGGAACTCGGTGTCCAACTTTCCAAGAATTTCACCTGCAGCTGACACACTGAATCACCTGAAAAAGACTCACCGATGTGTCTACTTCCTCTGGAAGCTGCGACGTGCTGGACTGGGCAGTTGTGTCTTGTGGGGCTTCTACAGATGTGAGTACGGATGGTCTGATCCAATGCAGCACATCGGAATGGAGTCTGATTCAGGCCAAAATGACTGGATCGGGATTGGATTGATTTGATTATAACCAGTCCAATCCATCCATAAAGCCAAATGATGTCGTATATCTCAACTTCACTGTACACTAAATGCCATAGAGCACAGATCAGCTGTCCCCATGGTTGCATTGTGCCGGTGCTTGTGTCGCATAACCAGAAACCTACAGAGCATAGAGCCATTGTGTTTTCCTTATTTCTTTAGGGGACCAGAATAGTGAACGTGTGAGAAAATAAATGCTACTTCTAATGGGGTGTTTATGCATTTCTTAGAATTGTATTGTCATTAAAGTAATTCGTTTTAGGGCACTGAACAAGTAACACTGATCAATTTAACATCAAACTGTAGATGAATACAGAAGCGCGTGATGCTGGAGCATGGTTTCAATATAACATTTGTCGAAAAGAAAAAGCCCTACAATGCCTCTCTCTTGTCAACGTTCCAAAATTCTCTTTTGACACAAGAGGCAGCAGAAGTTGGGTCTGCTCTGCATTTGCGTGTCACACAAAGCGCTCTCTTGTTTTGTCCACTAACAAATGTCACCAATGATGTCACGACTTCAGAGGGGGATTTAGAATGGATGATCTAAAAACAGAGCGTATAAAGAACGCACTGTCTCGCTCACATATAATTTTATATCAGCGGAGCCTGGTCAAATTAGGGACACCAATGACCGGCCAAATTACACAAAGCAGATGTTCAGCATGGATTTGCAGCAACTATTCATGTTATCCACAGCCTACCAAAACACTTCCAGGAAAATAAATAAATAAATAAAAACAAGAGGATTTGTTTGTCGCAGCTCTGACCCCTCAAAGAAAACCAAAATAAAGGCACACGCACGCATTGACTACAGAATTCAAAAAACGGCAACATTCAGCTTGAAAGCTCTAAATTATACATTACATACAGTATGACATTTATTGTAATGTGCTGTAGATGGAAAATGTTCTTGTACTGCATCAATGTCACACTCCTAACATTAAGAATGTCTGGCTCTCTGGTGTTTAGGCGGTAATAAATTTCAGTCCAGAACCCAAGGGCACGTAAGAGTGCTCTAGTCGGCAAGTTCTATTCCAATGGATACGAGAATAAATACGTAGTTAATAAATAAAGTCAGAAAACCAAAAGGAATTACGTGATTCATCTATACATGAAAAACGTGGCAAACCAAAATCAAAGCAAACAAACATTGTGCATACTACCTTGTTTTTCGTTCGTTGCTTTGTGATGGGCATCATTAATGTATGGAACTTGAAGATGTGCACAGGAATGACTGATGGATTACCGTCAGTGACAGTCAAGCACAATAGAATTAGTCTAGTCTGCACAAACCCCTTTTGGTTAGCCCACTGAGAATGGAGAGAATGGTGTGTAGATTTGTGAACATGAAATTAGCTCAAAACATGTTGTGAGATGTGCATGCGCGCTAAAGTGGTTAGGTTGTTGTAATTTACCATTTTAAATACAATTCAAGTCCATACTTCTAAAGAAACTAAGTCCAGTAATGCAATGTCTGTGTAGCAATACAAGGAAAAAAAACTGAAAATATTTTAACAAAAGCAAATATTTATAGGTGTGCTCATGTTAACAGCAGTATGTTAAAAAAAATCTTGTAAAGCACAACATCCTTATGATAGGTGTAATCCCCAATATACACATACGCAGGAGGAATATCCCGTTCTCTTTCGAAACGTGAATAAAAATGTATCAAATTCAGAGTGTGTTTTCGTCCTAAAATACCACGTTGGTCGATGTAACACAGGGAAGCCGTTCATCAGAAGTGGTGGTCACATAATCAATCAATAGTGTGACTGGCAGGAAAGCAACACCATCTTGCATTCCGTGAATGTGGTAAATGACTTTGTAAAGACAAATATGAAGACTGCTACTTTATTATTATAAACAGCATTGTATTCTTCTTTGTGTAAATATATTCTCCGTCATGTTTTGATTTGTAATAAATGCTCAGTCCCCCGATGCAATGCAGCTATTAAGAGGAACTGGAGCTTTCCGCACTATTTTAGGAACAACTGTCAATCATGGGTTCTATTACTGAGTTTCTATTACTGTACATGCGAACAAGGTACAATGGTTGTACCTACTTGAGAGGTTACGTAACACAAAGTAAAACTGATGTCATTAGAAGGCTGTGTAATGAATGTTCTCTCAAGCTCTTGAATGACATACACACAATCAGGATCACTGCTGGAGAACACTGTGTTGTATATCCTTTTTGTCTTACCCTGTGTTAATGGAGATGATTTCAATGAGAGGGTTTTTCCTTATCTTGGGAAGATCCAGTCTGGCTCCCCCAAGCCTCCGGCCGCCATCTTTCTTCTGGCCCAAAAGACGAACTGAGTGACCTGTATTCAAGAATCAAAATTGTCTCCTCATTCACTGCAGGTTTGTTTGTTGGCCGTTTTCATTTTTTTTTTTTTTTTTTAATCAAACACAGTTGCATCATTTTAAAATAAACACTTAAAGGGCTGCCACATGCCAAGTGAAGTGGCAAAGCGCAACTAAAGTGGACTACCACAAAAAAATTCAATTGGCGTGTCTTCACTGAACGGCAAGCGATTGAGCACAGCACATCGACAGACACACTGCAAGAGAAAACTGAGACCCTGCATTTTGCTTTCGAGGCTCCGCATACAATACACTGTATTGAATTCTTGTTTTGACTGAACCACAAAAACATGGCACAAAGACAGAAAACAAACAAGAATAAGGTGCGTGGCAGTGATCGATCATCGCATTCACTGACTGCACTTTAGGCAAAAGAGACTCTCCGCGCTTTGATTTCTATCCATCGGTACGTATAAAATTATGAATGCGGTGTAGTACTAACACAATAATAACACTTGAAACTGAGAAACGTTTTTTTTTCCTCTCCCTTTTGCCTTTATTTGTGGAAATCTGTCTTTTATGAACACTCATTGCCGACCCCTGCAACCTGCGCAATAGTTCTGTTTACCTACAAAATGGGTAAAGCTATCAAGAAAGCACAATATGCACGGGGAGCAAATAAAAATCCATAACCGAGTCAAAAAGTTAAATGTCAGTGATGCTCAGCCCTGAATGTGTAGAAACTGGATGCTCTGGTCTCCTCTCTCTCGTCATCTTATAGAAAGCTTTGTGCGAGATGGAGGCGCTGAGGGATGGAATTGTCTTGCTGTTCCCATCCGCTTTACATGAGTCTCCTGGGAGGATGGGCTCAAGGCAGGAAGCATGACTATCATTGGTAGATAAAAATTACTATCTGCCCCTGAGGAGTACAAAGAGCCAATCGGTGAGGCGTGACTGGTCGTAATATCCCAGTACAAGAGGGGAAAATGAGAAAACTCCACTCAAGGAAAGAAGGATTGGATATACATTTGGCTGTCTTACAGCTTGCAACTGTATTCATATCGCCGGAGAGCTCTTTGGGGATACAGTGAGATTGGGTTTTTTTTGTTTTTTTTCAGAGGGGGTTTGGGGGGGTTGCTACTTCTGATCAATTGTTTGAAGTCAGATTATCAACACATTTTCATGACAGCACAATTCCTCTGTACAAATGATAGCATCGTGAAGATTTAAATTTGAAGTCTTCAAGGTGTTACTTCAATTCCTCTGAAATATTTTTACACTTATACTGGACAGTTTTTTAATGAAAGACTCATTTAATCTTGTTAGGTGTATGCCACTGGGTAGATTACTATATTTTGCCAGAGTCGGCAAAAGGCAACAGTGCTGTCCAATTCTCATCTCAAAATACAGTACAGTGATCTTCGCTTATCGCAGTTAACGGGGACCAGAAACCCCCGCGAAAGAGGGAAATGTGTGAACTGTTGTTTTGCTGACTTTCGCTGCCTCTCACGGACCTTTTGCGGCATTTTCGTTTTTTTTAATGAATATTTTTGAAAAATCCGCGATGCAATGAATCCGCAAGAAGCGAATCGCAAAGTAGCGAGGGATCACTGTACACAGTTTAGCTGGCTCAATTGTTCTGATGGGCAGCCCCCTACATACACAGATATATACCTGGATAACCACACTGTCTATGCTCACTAACTGCCTAAAAGTCTTTCCCACCCTTCAAATGTCCCTGCTTTTTCTCCTTTGTTCACTTCTCGAAAAATACGGCTTGATGTAATCCATCCTCTCATAAATGCCTTCCAGAAGGTGATGGTGAAGGTGGGAAAGAAAGGATGGATAGAAGGCTAGGAGATGAATTCCTCAAAGATGAAAGCCATATACGATGGCGAGATGGATGGTTGGAACGCAGCGGTAGATGGCTAAAAGGATGACCTGTTGACCTACGGTTGATGCCTCATATGTGGCGGCTCTCCTATTGGATTGGAAGGCATCAGCGGGGTGGGGAACGTTGGAAATAACGGACTAAAGTGGCTGATGAAGAGGAGAGCAGGGGTTTGATATTTATCGGTCATCTTGTCAATGCAATGGGCCAAGCGACACCGATGGAACAGTGTTGATATCTGAGCGATGCCTGCTAACTTTACGGGATATGGCTTTGAAGTGCATCAAGCGTACTGTAACATTAAAAACACACACACGCACATGCGCACGTACTCTGATAAAACCAAAGCATAGCTTTGGTGTTTGACGGCAACAAGCGTCTGAACAGCATTTGGCGTTGATAAGAGGTCACTTGGCATCAAAAGAATGTGTTGACAACATCATTCAGAAATCCATTTCAAATCAGTGTGAGTGGGTCAACTTTCTTTCTGTCCATGATATGTTTTCATTCTTGAGCTTGATCTTTTTTTTTCTTTTTTTTTTTAAGCAAGGAACACGATTAACAGTTTGTTTATCCTGGTGAATAACGGAAAATGAGGTCATTTTGATGTTATGGAGCCGATGATCTCTAGCTAAGTAGATGCATTGGCCCGTTTAACTTCATTTGCCTGGATTTCCATCATAAACACACATAAACACTAAATCTTCACAATTTCTAACCCCCCCCCCAAAAAAAAACAGAATAACAGATGAAATGGTGTCATCTGAGGCGACATTCCCAACTAAAGGGGAACAATATCGGAACACCAATAGAAACATGGAAACAGGCCTACAGAGGATACACATAAATGAGTTATAGCATCCGACGTCAGTGAAAATCAAAAACATACTTTGCATGGGATAAAATGTGTCTTACCTACAGGGTGAGGTGCCCTTGCCACCAAACAGATCAATGTTTTCGTGTAGACTCTATCATTTCAAGAATTTCTGCACGTTTTTTTTTTTTTTTTTAATTTTGTTTTAGTTTTTTGTAGAGGGAAAATATGGGTTTCTTTTTGTAACGGGAACCCTCGGTGTATGCACATACAGGAAGTAAAAGCAACTCTGTCCAAAGGTTTTTGTATGCTCAGAGTAGTTCTTTGACTGACAATTTGGCCTTAATCTCCCAGAATTTCAGTCGTTTCAAGTATTTACACTTTCAAGTATTAACTTTAAATGAGGGTTAATTAAATGGGATGATACGGCCGGAATGGTCCAATTTTCACGAACAAACTCAAATGAGTTTGTTTGTGAAAATTGGACCGATTTTGTTAATTCTTTTGGTTAATCCAGAAAATGATATTAGCTTGCATCATCAATGTTATCCATTTGTTTGGGAGAAATCAGTAAATAACTAAGTACTCTCAAAACGCCCCTTTTTAGTCAGAACTATAGATAAAATTGTATTTATTTAAGTCTATTACAGAGAACCCCCCCTCCATTATTGTTGTTTATTTGGTCTTGTTTAGTGATTAAAAAACCTTGAGAAACAAACATCTTAACAATATCATACGAGGGAGTGATGCACTCAACAGCTTTTATTTTCTCTTTTTTTGTAACTGATCCTGTTACTGGCTTGATCGTTCTTTTCCAAAGTGAAAGCAGATGTCTGCAAATGTTTCAAACTGCATTCATGAAGGACAACAAACATCAATGAATAATTACTGTTGAGAGGGTCAAATCAGAAGCTTTGGACCATTTTAAGTTATACAATGGCTGTAAATGATTACTCGATTATAATAGCTGTCGATTAATTTGACCAGCAATTAGTTGCCTATTAATCAGAAAATTCATCTGAATAATCTGCCACCATTTGTTTAATTTCTGTTCATATAAAGATATTTTCCAATGACTGATGAGGTCCATGTTACATGCACATTTCCACGAAAGCTTTATGTCAGTGGATGGCATAGGTATTGTTGATCAGCTCTTGAGAGTAAAATTGCTGCTTGACTAGTTTTGGAAAGTATGAAAGGAAACTACAAATCTTACACATTGTGGAATGAGTTTGAATAGATTTGCAGGGCTCTTGGATAAAATGGCATCAACCGTCTCTGTTTGCAAGACAACCAACAGCCGGTGAAAGCCAACTAAACTGGCTAAGTAAGGCTGAAACCACAGTAACTGCTCAATCCAGCAATATTCTATGTGAAAACATAATGTTCAAATCCTGTGTGCGTGCTCAGCAAATCAACCTGAGATAACGGAAGTCATTTACAACAGGCAGTAACGTAAGCTTTATGGTTCAAGGATTCAGTAAAATTAAACACAGCTTTACTGTGCTACGGTATTCTTATTGAGTGGCAGTTATATTCCTTTTAAACCAAGACCCAAACCGAAATGATCATCTCACGCTTCACGAAGCGAGATCATAAAAGCTAGCTCATGCTTTTGTTACGTGGAAAAGAAACCCGCAAGAAATTTTGTTGGAGAACTGTGCCTTGCAATTCGCCGGCATACACATTTTAGTTACCATTTCAAAAGGCATATCCCCCAGTTTAAAGGTCTCCTGGCCTCTGAGCTGAAGTAACAGCTCTCGATTTATATGAGGTCATAAAAAACAGTAATGATACTGGGGAAATTAGTTTCTTGGGGGTGGGGGTGGAAGGTGAAGAATGGTTGGGAGGCGTGGAGGGATAGAGTCAGGATATGAGAAGGCAGATGGGTAAGAAGAATGAAGGAAAGAAATGCTGAAAGACGTTGAGGGAAAATATGTAAGAGATAGTCAAAGTCAATAACTTACAGTGGATGTATGTGCTGCCTGTGCATACAGTTAACGCCTGCAGTCAGAGAATTTGGGGTTGATTGTACAGTAATATTCAGATGTCCCTATTGCAGTGCAAACAACACACACAAAACCACCCTCACACAAATATGCACGGATGTGCACGGGCGCACGCAAGAGTAATGTGTTTTACAGTTGTTTTTTAAGAGAACAGCTGGGGGTATATGACAACTTCAACGGACATCCACAATAAACTCTGTGTGACCTCCATTAGCAGCAGAGTACTGTGGTGCCCAGATAGTTTAAATAATTACTAATCACTGACATGGGAGTCTGTCTTCGCAAGAAAGATCCAAACGTGATTAATGCGGTTTATTTCATACAACTTTGACCACCACTATTGGCAGCATTGAATTTTTAATTGGCTCACTATTAATCTAAGAAATAGAATGGAAATAGAAATTTACATTATCGCTATATTCAAAACATCATTCTTAAACATACACATAAATCTCTTTTTAATGAAAAAAGTATTGTCCAAAACATCTGGACAGGTATAACAAGTACTTCATATTTTGTTGCTCACCCTGAAGTAACTGCCTAAAAACATTTTTTACTGCAATCAAAAAGCTTCCAGGCCATGCCATATAGCTGTTTCCCCTGGTGAAATGAGGAAGGGGGGCATTCTTTATTTCACCCATTGCTTTTAGATAATCCAATTAAATTGAATTGAAAGCTGTTTCACGTATTATTGCAACAAAAGTGGGAGCAATAACCAGAAGTAATTAGGTTGGGCCCCTGAATGGTGTCATAACGTCACAATGGTGTGCATATTTGCAGGTCTTTCTGGGTGCATTCAAATACCTTTAACAGCCTCGTCCACCACCTCGACCACTCGATCAATCTGTTGGACCTAAAATACACAAAAGGCACACGCAGGTTGATTGATGCCGAGCATGCTCGCATTCCAAACAAAACTATACTGAGCACATGAACACAAGTAGTCCATATTACAACAATCTGTGCACACAAACACAAACAATGTGCACAGTGAAGCTCTGCATGATATGAATCAGATTGTGTCTGTGTTTAGTCGTCGCAATGTGGACGAGAACGTGCAGAAATCCAAATTTGTCACGTAGAATTTCTGCAGCATGGCTTGGATATACTGTAGATACGGCAAGCAACTGTTAGTGGGGAATGTGCGCGCCGTTGAGTTCCTATCAATGTTTGAGGCGACGTCATTAAACAGTACATTTAGTCTCCACCTGTAAAACAGTATGTGAGAGAGGTATGGCTCAGGTTTTAAAGTGGCCATTAAGGACTTGGAATGGTGCCATATATCCCGCTCTGTGGCAACATAAGCCACCATGTGATTGTTGCCATGTGCAGTGTAGTACGTTTGGCATTAACAGATTGTATTGAACAACAAAGTGCGGGATGACAACAGAGGATAATCTTGACCCGTGATTCTCAACTGGTGGGTCAGGACCCGTTTTGTGTGGATCACTGAAAGCTTGAAAATAATTGTGGGGGGTCCTGAGATGATGGCCATATTGTTGTGCTGAGATTACGGACGGCACGCAAAAAGCTAGTTTGCCTGGTGACATAAAAATATGTCACCTGATGCAAAAAAGACACTTTCGGTGAGTGTCCTGCTTTCTGCTTTTCATTTGATTTGCATTTATTTTCATTTTTCAACCTGAATGTACTGACACATGCTGGTGACTGACAATGGTATCACGGTGTCTAAGAGCTTAGAGCTTGTGAAGTCACATGACCAAACCAAGAAAACAGGTGAGCCTCGACAGTCTTAACGTTACCTGGGCCCTTCACACGGTGATGTCATTTTCAGTCAAAAGGCACAAGGCAAAACGGCCTCCCCCTGAGATCAATAAAAACGTGTGGAATTTTCTGCTTCACTTATAATACACAAAGGCAATAGAACTCAGAATACCGTGTTTAGACGAGAGAGGTCGCACAGAACACACTATTGTAAAGACATTGACTTCCTTTTTAAATGAGTTAAACTATATATTAATTCCAGAAGGGCCTAGAAAGTATTTTTTTTTAATTAAATTTCAAACTAGTTCTTTTTTGAGCAAGCTTCCGTCTCGGTTATCTTGTAAAATAAAACAACATTAGCTGTCAGTGTGAAACGTGAAACGGTACTCGGTCTGGGACAAATTTAAAGACAAGAACAAAGAATATGCAAGGGGTACAAAAAGATGTGCGCCCAGAGGGCTCATGTGTTGATATCTCTTGTTTACAACAATTGCTTACACACTGTAAATCTCTGATTACAGAGCCGGAGCTGTTTGTCTGCGTGGAGATGCGTGATGCATCTTAGATAAAGGATGTGACATGTCTGGTTCAGAGACGTGAAACACGGTGGGCTTGCGTGACTCTTGCGTACCTTGCACACAGTTACACTGTCATTCATTTCATAGCCAACTTGTGAAAAGCAAAACAACAGAACAAACAAGGCACGTCATGGCGCAGCTCATGTGAACAGGAGTGAATTAATTCAACAGCACTCTTAAGCACCCCCCACCTAGCCGTTAAGAGGATTGACAAAACAAAAACTCACGACTGGTAATTTGAATTTGATTTTCATATCCAACCAACTGTCACTCTTGTTGTGTGTTTGGATAGGAGGGCACATGAAAGAAGTGCGCGTGCACTGGTACGCCTCGGTCTGTGATTGTTACCATATGTGCCCCTTCATGCATGTTCGGCTTTCTGTCTGTCCGTTGGTGTGTGCACGTGCGTCAATATCAATGCAAAATCCAATCTATTCATGACAATAGAAGGCACAGCAGCGACAAACTTCCCAGCTGTTTCTGTCGTGCCCTCAAGGCGCTCGCGCGTACAAGCTTGTTTATCTGAATGTAATTATATGATACATACATGCCACTTGAATGTGATTTGAATGTAATTACGTTACATAGCGGCATGTTTACTTAAATGGAACTGCATTATTTATCGGGATGGGCATTTAATGCAAAAATGTGTGCCGTTCCATACTCTTGAACTGTATATCTGAAAGTGACAGTAATTGGGACATTTCTATAATCCAACAACGTTATTTTTGTTTTTTTGTTTTATTTTTTTGGGTGGGGGGGGGCACATTAAATTAATTCATTAAATAGCTTTTCAGAAAGCAAGGAGCGAATAAAGGAAGGCTTCAAAGATTATTTGTTTTGTGTAAAATACATCTGCTGGCAGCCAAAAACAGGGAGAGAAATGACATTAAGCCTTTCATGCACCCTGTAACCTGATAACATGATAAGATGTGTCCACTGTAGTCACCGTTGTACTTGAAAGGGTTAATTTCCCCGTGGGATTATTTGTAGGAGCTCAACTAAATACTGTACTTTGTCAACCATAATTGGTTATTAGGTTTTATCATAACAGTCGCAGAAGATTGTTGGAATAAATGTAGTAGTCTTGGGACACCAAATGGGGGGGAAGGAAAAATAAGCAAGCCCCTACTAATTCTGTTTCATTATGAAGTATTATCAGTGCATAAATGTGCAATCTTTGAAATGTGACACCAGTGGAATTCAGCTTGAACTGGTCTGATTCTGCAGTGTGGTTATGCGCTACAACCAGTAAGCGTTATAGCAGTCCTGATCATTCTATACAGGCGGGAATGAATGAATGATCTGCTGTTGAGACTCTGCATCACTAAATCTCATGAGGATTATATCAATGCTGTTTTTTACAGTGATGACCTCAGAGAGTGAAACCATAAACATGAATCAATGTGCAGAAATGAGAAACAAAACAAATTTGATAAAAGGAAGCCCATCCATTTATTATGTTTATTTATTTATTTATTTATTTAGTATTGTTATTATTATTATTATTAGTAGTAGTAGTAGTAGTAGTAGTAGTAGTAGTAGCCTTACTATTATTATTGATTCTTTGTCAGGATTGTTAGACTGAGTTGATAAAAATGTCTACAGATCTGTCAGATAAATAATTTTGATATAAAATTAAAAAAACTCGACAAACCAGCTTGCTTTTACATAAGAAAAGCTAAGAATCTCAGAAAAGTCAAGAAAGTGATTTTCAGTCGTGAAATAGTTGATTATATGATTGTATATTATTTGTCAGTCAGCCATGTCTGTATTTTGCTGCATTTCGCATCAAAGGTCTCTTTTTTTTTTCCCTCATTCAAACATGGCATAGGTTGACTTTTTGTAGCCATTATGTAAATACGTGGCACCATATGTCTCATTCCGGTTGACTTTTTTCAATCATATTTCTTTCGATCCTCATTCTCATGCATCTGCCTTCTTTTCTACTGCCCTTCCATATTTATTTTGGTGATCCTGGTCCTGTCTTCTGGGGAGCGCTACCGATTCACTAAACAGCACGCGGGGGACCAAAAAGACCAGACTAGTCTCAACATGTCGCCAGCCAGGTCAATGACAGGTAAAAAAAAAAAAATGTTCTGTGATACCTTGTGTGGGTTTGTGTTGTCCAGAAAAGTAAACCAAAACATGTTTTATTTAGTTTCAAAAGTGCGTTTATATTAAGACTCTTACTTCGAAGTCATGTATGGCCAAATGCACAAATGTATCAAGAGCAAGTATAACACACATACCCCAATGATGCTAAGACCTTTGAGATAGTCCATTCGAGGTTGGGCCTGTGGAACACAACCGGCTACCACCACCTTCTTCTGTTGCTCTTGGGCTTTTCTGCGAAGAATGGAAACACAAGATAAAATAAAGCTTTTGTTTTTTTTTAAAAGAAAATTGCAGTTGAACAGGAAATTCTCAGAAAAAAACAATTAAAATGTGCTCCGACAACATTCACATTTCATTCACAATTTGACAAGGCTGATGTAAATAACTTTATGGCTATAAACAACTGGGCCTGTTTACATCCTTCACTAAGAATTGAGTTTGAAAGGAAAATATAGAGTCACTAATCTTCTCATTCAAATGGTTGACAAAATGCCAATAGCGCCTTCACTTGTCAGTGTTGGTTTCTTGCTACAAGGAAGGCGGATGACACATTTTGGTACTTGAGTTGAAAAAAAGGACAGCAAAACAACCTTAAGGTTTTTTGTTGTGGTGAGTTACCATCGTGTAAAATATTACAACAAAAATGCAATTTTGCCATGTGAGAGGAAGTGATTTAAGGGGAGAAGAACACTGTTGAAACACAGCCTGGTCAATTCAATAGACAACCTACAGCACAGTGAAACAGTTGAGAGGTCCGCTGAGTTGACATGTCAATCTGGTTATTCTCTGACTCTAAAACCATCGAAGGTTTTATGCCAGATGGATGATAAGACAACACAAATATCATTGATTGACACCACAGCACATCATATGCATCTACTGTACATATATTGAAAAGTCAACTACCGGTATTGGAAATGCCAGGCCAAGCTTGGAACCATTAAGCGCAACATGGTAAAGTGACAACGGTAATTATTTTGTAGCTGTCTATTTCTAAGACGAAAGAGTCCACATAAAATTTAAATTTAAAAATACAAATAAATACAGTTGGCAGAACATTACATGGTGAAGCCACCGTGAGGGTGTGTGTGTGTGTGTGTGTGTGTGTGTGTTTGGGGGGGGGGGGGGGGGGGGGGGGTTATGAGAGTGTTTCCATGTCACCTCTCGTTAGTGGCAGTAAGATTTGAGACACTCGGTCTGTCTGACAAAAGCTTTTGGAGGCGCTGCCCAGACTCCAGCATGAATCTTTAATAATGAAGCCTCCTGACAGCTGGAAGTAGAAAGGGAGGGATGAAGGGAGGGAGGGGGCGCATGAATGTGAGGGAGGAATTAAGAGGACAGAGGAGGAGGAGCGATAAAACTGGATGCGAACTGTCAGTTGTGTTTTGGTTCACAGCGTGTTTGTATTCTTCAGCAAAACAAAGATACTGAGGTGGAGGAGGTGGGTGAGCAAGTACAGAGTAAAGAAAGCCAAATCCAATTCAGAGCAGAAGCAAGCAAAAGCACAGTGGATGATGAAAGTCAACGCCCGTAAAGAGATGGCTGGCGTGTTGTGGTTTGGATCATTTTAGCACCTATTCTATTGAGGCTCAAAGAACATCATCAATTTCTGCATAGTTAAAAAAATAAATGTGAGACATGCATAGCAGGAAAAAAATTAAAGCACATGAAAATAAAGACACTGATCAGGACCCAGCTTCTGTTGATCTTGGGCTATGAACAAGTTCAACGCTCATGCAGTCAGGAATGCAGTAAGTCAATGTTTCTTTATATACTTTCAAGTTTCACTGGCAATGCTCAAAGCATTGCAGATTTAAACTAGGAATTGGCCCGGATGTCACAATTTGTTTAAAAACAAAATTAAAACACACTTGGTCTCCACTCCATAAATCACCTTGCCTAAAGGTCATCATGGAAGCATTAAAACATATAAGTGCCAGCACGTGCATCAGTGATTCAGTGTTTGCTTTTCTATTGACATAGATTGAAATTAATAAGTCCTCGAGGTATGCTCTTTTGAGTTACTCATTGACTGCCGAAGGAAATATGAGTAATGATGAGCTTCGCTTAGCCGGGGCTGTACTCCTTGACATGATTATGCTTGAACTCAAGCTTGAAATGCACTGCTCTCTCAATATATCACAATATAGCACATTTCTATAATGCGACAATATAGCACACTGATCTTAAAGTTTGAAGTTAAAGAAAGAGTGAAACATGCAGAGTGATTCATTTGGTGATGGCTGAACTGAGGTCTGACAATATTTTCAGAAGAACTTCAGAATGCTCATGTAGCTCAAATGATGAGACACTTTCCTTTCAACATATATTTGAGTTGGTGTCCCAGTTGTCCAACCTTAGGGCTGTTCAAATCTGGAGGGTCCACTTCAATAACAAAATGGTGAATACAAGAAACTGAAATGCTTGTTGAAGGGAGGAAGAGTAAACATAGTCGAGTAGCTTGTTCTCTTGACAATGCTCGTCAAGAAGGACTCGCATTCGCATCACACACATAGTAGAGGTACGCCTGCATAATTCACACTAACGCCTGCCAAAACGTTCCAAGCACTCCTATAATGTGACACTTGCTCCCTGCCCGTTGACATCGCTGTGACATACATAGCAAGTAAGCAGGCGGCATCAGAGTCACTGTCTCATCACCTCCAGGGGAACAGGACAATTTAGTCGCACATTGTTCCTGGATGGGATGAGTTTATGCGATGCAGTTGCCGTGGCGATACTTTGGAGCCCAACCGAGCATTCATGCCAGTGACCCGGACCAGAGCAGATGTCCCACAAGATCGCAAAACAAGGAGTGTGGTGTGTGTGTGCGCGTGCGTGCATGTGCGTGCGTGCAGGCCCATTTCCTTGGCATCGCGCCCTAAACGTCTGCAGCCCCCCGTCAACTTTGTGTTGCTGCTCTCCATTGCCTGAAGACCACACGCATCCATGCACATCCACACATGGTATTAACAAACCACATGCCTTAAACATACCGTACAAGCGCATACTAAGAGTCACGGATGGCGATGTAACAGCCTATGCATAGATGTATGACCTCTGCGCTATGTACAGTATATATGGATGGTGAGGAGGGATATGCTGTACATACTGGTTTTTAACAGCCGAGTGGACACAGTGAATCAGTCAAATTAGACCAGACTAAATGTCTAACTCAATTGATCAGGTTGACTTAGATAAGCCCTTACTGTAAATACAATGTTGAACCACTCAAGGCAAAAGCACAGTGCGTGGCCTATATAGAAGCTTCGTCAATGCTTTAAGAACATCTTAAGGGGAAAAAGCCAAACATCTGAAAGTAATCTCCTGAACTGCAGTTAAAAAGAAAAACAAAAAAAATAAAAAAAACGATGGCTCGCTTGTTGCTAAAAAGCTCAAATACAATACATCCCCTTGGCACAGCTGTGAGAGTGTATTCTGAAAATCAAAGCAAAGATTCCTTGCAATGGTGGTTTTTATCAGGTTTAAAATCAAGTCTGTTAAGAGAAGTTTGTGGGTGTAAGAATTATGTCCTTTCAACGACTCATCCGGCCGTCTGACACCCCGACCATTTAGCAATACCTACCTAGTGGGGAACCACATGAGTTCATTATGCACCGAGCCAACCATATGTTCCTTCTATCGAGTAAGCGCCAAAGTCAACAGCCCCTTAAGTTTAACAGTTCGTAATTTGACCCAAACTTTCTTGAAAATTGCCTTGAGCAAGAGTAGTTACGTTTCATTTCGCAGTGGTTTACTTTTTAAACCGATATAAGAGTTGTGAATGTTAAAACATGTTTTTCCTGTATCGTTCAAAGGTTTTGTGAAGTCCTCACTTTAATGCTCATTCATGAATTGTCCGTTGCAAATAGAATGTATGCAAAATTTGAATGAATCATGGGTTGACAAGTCTTAATAATAACAATCAGAATAATAAGAATAAGAATAATAAGAAGGAAAAAGAACAGAGGCTTCCAGTGTATAATAACTTGAGAGCACCAATCACAGACATCGGAGATTAAAAAAATATATATAAAAAGAGAGAGTGAGTGAGAGAGAGAGAGAGAGAGAGAGAGAGAGAGAGAGAGAGAGAGAGACAGAGAGAGAGAGAGAGAGATGAAGTTTAACTTCTTTGGGTATAATGGGAGGACAATGGTGTGGCCAATGGCCACGACCAGTCTCTGACCTTAACCCCATTGAGGACCTGTGATGACCAATCAGGTTGGACGGCAGTATACTATACAATTTCAATAGATGAGATTGTTAAAGTGATATCAAGGAGGGGTTCTGATGTTAATTGTAACTTGATCAACAAAAATGTTGTTGGTTGACATAGTATATATAATACTGTATAAGGTAACAACAGCAAAATTACATTCATTTTCATTCAATTTTTGCCATTGATGTAAATTTGTATTTATTATTTGAAAAAAAAAAAAAAAACCAAAAGGTCATGATATTTCAGAGAATGCTCCATATTCGTAATAGTATGGAACACCATGTCCAGATTTTATATTTAAAGTTTTTTTTTTTTTTTTCCCCATCGTCAGTGCCACTCCTCCTCTTTCTTGTCCTTGTGCCAGTGTTTCACCTCCTTGCTCATCCGCTCATTTGCACTCGGAGAGACGTTTCTGGCTGAGTTGACAGTGAGCCAGCCAATCAGCACACTCCTGACCTCTCTGCATTAGCGTAAGCAGCGAGAGGCGAGGTTAAGTACCCATCAAGCCTCAGTCATTGAGATATGAGCTGGTGTGTGCAGGAGGATATGTCACATTTTGTCTTTTCTTTCTCACACTCCATTAATGACAACGTAGCAAACTTTTCTGGCTTTGCAATCGACAGTTATGCCATTGCCCCAATTTCAATGCCACAAGGAATTCTGTTATTCAAATTCAAATATGTGTAGTGCCTTTTGCTTTAGATATATATGTCTATTTATGTAATGTTTTATTCATATTTCCATATTTGTTTTGTGTCTGTTTTCCAGCAGCAGGAGATGAATCATCAGTGACCGACAGGATAGGCGACATAAATGTAGAGAAATACACGGTTGCATATATGAAGATTATGGTTCCTCTGGGGGGAGGCGGGGAGAAGAAGTTTACAAACTAAAATGCCTGACAAACTCTTCGCCTATGGGATTTGACTACAAGCACGATCAATGAGAGCTGTTCTTGACCCACATTTTCCAGAAGGTCATTATATACTTGTGGTTTTTTTTTTTTTGGGCT